AAAAAAAAAAAAAAAAAAAAAAACACGATCAATTCATTAGATGCAGAAAAGGCTTTTGACAAAATACAACATCCTTCCACAATAAAAGTTCCAGACTAAGGACATAGGCAACAGACCTCAATATAATATGGAAACACACAAGTTCACAGTTAATATCATACTAAGTGGAGAAAAACTCAAAAGCATTTCCTCTAAAATCAGGAAGAAACAAGGGTGTCTATGCCGTCTCCATTTCTATTCAACATAGTACAAGTTAGAGTAATAAAACAACAGGAGATTTAAAAAGAAGAGGAAGTCCAAGGATCCTTATTTGTACATAAGATGATTATACACTTAAAAAGTCCTCAAAAACTCCAACAGAAAACTCCTACAGCTGTAAAGTAGCAGAATACAAAATTAATATGCAAAAATCAGTAGCCTTGCCATATTCAAACAAAAACAATAGCCTCAAAAAGTACCTATGAATAACTGAAAGACTTGTATAATAAAACTTGTGACACTGAAGAAATTGATACCAGCATGGATTAGTAGGAACAATAGTCCTGAATAATAAAAGAACTGTTAGAGTTATCATCATCTCTGGTTTTAAGTTATATTTTGGAGGAATAATATGAAACAGCATGGTACTGGCATAAAAAGACCAGACACATCGATCAATGGATGAAAATTAAGGGTACAGACATAAGCCAAAACTAACACTGGAGAAAACAGCCTCATCAAATTGTTCTGGTCAAGTTAGATAGCTGTAGGTTGATGGGGGATGTCCTTCTGTATGCTGTGAAATCATGTTTCTCTTATTGGTTGATGAATAAAGTTGTTTTGGCCAAAGGATGAGCAGAACTTAGCTGGCGGGACTTTCAAAAAAAGAAGCAGGGGAAGAAAGACAAAGGTCGTTATGTAGCCACCAGGAAGGCAGGATCCCAGGGTAAGTCACAGCCACGTGGAGATACACAGATTAATAGTAATGGGTTAATAATTCAGAGAGAGCTAGCCAGTTAGAAGCCTAAGCCAATGGCCAAACAATTAAAAAATATATATTGAGTCTCTGAGTGGTTATTTCTTAAGTGGCTATGGGACTCTGTGGGTGGAGGAAAACCCACCCACAGTTCAGTGAGACCAAGAAAGATGGAGAAAAATCTCCCTCTACAGTAGGTGGGAGAATGAAAGTAGATTGCTACCTACCAACCTGCACAAAACTCAACTCCAAATGGACCGAAGACCTCAACAAAAGACCTGATCCCCCAGATCTGATAGAGGAGAAATGGAGTACACTTCAACTCATTGGCTTCCCTTCAAAGGGAAGGACTTTCTGAATAGAACCAGAAAAACACAAGACCAACAACTGACAAATAGGAGCTCATGAAACTACAAGCATCTGGACAGCAAAGAACACCATCATTCAAGTGAAGCTGCAAAATACAGAATGAGAAAAATCTATACTAGCTATGCATCTACTGCAGACAAGGGACTGGATCTAGAAAACACTGGAACTAAAATAAACTAGACATCAAGAAAATAATGGAATTCAAAAATAAGGCATGGAAGTAACACAGGGCTCTCAAATTTTGAAATATAAATGGCCAAGAAACAGTTTCTAATATTTAATATCCTTAGCCACAAGGAAATGCAAATTAAAACTACTTTGAGATTTCATCTTACCCTAGCCAGAATTGTTAAGTTAGACAAAAAAATAAAAACAAATTCTAGTGTGGATGTGAGGAAAAGGGGACACTAATTCATGGCTGGATATTGAAATCAGGAGAGAGAGAGAGAGAGAGAGAGAGAGAGAGAGAGAGAGAGAGAGAATATCTATCTACCAGTTAATCCAGCTATACTACTCTTGGGCATATGCCTAAAGGACTGTACATCTTATTATACATCGTTCACATCAATTGATGTTTTATTCATAACAGGCAGGATATCAAACAGTCTAGATGTCCATCAACATTTAGGATAATAAAAATGTGGTACAATTTATACAATGGAGTATTAGCTTTTAAGATAAATGAAATTTGAAGGCAAATGGAGTCAGGAGCAACCATTCTGAGTGATGTACCCTAGAAAAACAACCATGACATTTCCTCTCCTACGTGGATGTTGGCTTTAAATCTTTAACTATGTGCACTTCATTTGGAATACCCCTAGAAGTTAGGAAACTAGTAAGAGGCCATGGGAAGAGATTTGAAATGGAGATACCCTATAACATGGAACACAATTAACAGATAACACAATTAAAAATCCAGAACCATGAATGGGCTATCATTTGAGTTATTAGCCAGTGGAATCACTTTGATCCCCCCAAACATAACAGGCTATTGACAAATTTCTTGGCTACCCTCCCTCCAGAACTTGTTGATAGGAAGACCCTATTACTAAATCATCATTTGAGTTTAAAAACATGGACAAATCTATCTGTACTGACATAAAGTTTCATCCCTACTGGGTGGCTTTCATAGTGCTGAAAGGTGCTATGCAAGCTACTGGGAAAGATAATTCTCATTCTTACCCAGTTATGAACCCACAAGGTATAATAATGACTGCTCTGATAAGATCTGCCTACTGGTTTAACAATGCCATGAATGTTATGGATGTAACCAACTTCTGGTTAGATATAAGGTACAGTCCATGAAATGGAACCCATACATGGCACTGTTGATGGGGCCAAGAACCTGTGGTTGGTTAAGCTATAGGGCCTAGAGCAGAACCTACTACTATTATTCTGATAGATAGTATTAGAACTCCTAAGGGCTCAGTGCTATACACATTGATTAGTGCGTCTTCCAACCTTCATCAAAGAATCTTCTTTTCTGTAGATGGCAATTTACATAGAAACCCACAACTAGTGAATGTGAAGAAAATAAAAGATATTGCTCACTTTTCAGCCCTAAATGAGTTGTCTATATTAGACCCCTCCTCCCAAGGCTTGGGGATAATTCTGGAAGATAGATGATAAGAGCCAGGAGTGTTAGATGACCAGATGTCCTATTAAACCAGACATAATAGGACAGATGTACACATACACTAACTGCCATTGTGACAGCACAAGACCTATATCCAAGCTCAAACTAGGTACCCTATCCTTAGCTGAGAAGCCATTGACATTTAATAGCTGCATTAATATGAAGAGTCAATTTTCTTTAAGTGGATAATCCCCCTCCCCTCCCCCCCCTCCCCCCGGAGGTGCACCCAAGAGTGTCTGAGCAACACAAATTGCACTCCATGACTTTAAAACAAAGAAAATGGAAAGCTAAGTGGGTAGGGAAGACAGGTAGATCTGAGAAAACTATGATCAAAATGCATGGTATGAAATTCTCAAAGAGTTAACAACCATGTTTTTAAAGCAAAAACAAAAGCTACTTGAGGATGAAATATTTCAGACACACGTTAGCTGGGCTGTGCCCTGGGAGGTCTCTGAAGAGTCAGTGTGAGAACTTAAGATTGCTTTCCTTACCTCATGAGGTCCTCCAGGAGGGTGACCTCTACTGCAGAGATATGTGCTGTGTGTGTTCCCTGGATACAGGTTTTTGTCATTGTTTTCTTTTTAAAGGTAAAATGATTAAAATAAAAGCTAACCTCCAAAAGTTTTCAAAAGACAGTATTTTTTCTCAAGCATCTTCTTTAGTTACTTAGCCCATGAATAATTAGAAAGCATGTTTTTAGCCAGCTCCATCTGTGTGCCTGTAGAGTTATTGTTTAGATGGATAATAATCTCAATCGACTTTTATCAGCTCTGGAAATGTGAAAATCTGAATGTTGAAGTCCAAAAGTATTAGTTTGTGACATAAACATTTCTTAGGAAAAAGATGTTACTTGTATGAATGCAATGATATAAAATTGGAAAAGTTAAAAACACAAAAATTATTGAAGAAATAAATTGTGCAAGAAAAAATGGAAACAGCTTGCCTGTTTGTGTTCTAAATTTAATATACAAGGAAAATATTTACCTTAAACTTAGCACCTATGTAAGTCACTAAATTATTAAATAAATCTTAGCACTAAAAAGCTTCTGTTTTCCTTGTTACTTGCATTTCATTATTTTATTTATGGTGTGTGTGTATGTGTGTGTTTGTCTATAGGCATGCACATGCCATATCACACAAGTAGAGGTCAAATGACAACTTTCAGAGGTTGGTTCTTTCTGTCCACAAGCTGGGTCCTGAGACTGAATCAGGTTGTCAGACATGGTGGCAAGTGCTGTTACCCAGTGAGTCATCTCACCAATTATTACTTTTAAACCATCTACCTAACTCTGTCAAAACAATACATCATACTGTGTTAAATTTATTGAAAATACTTTCTTGCTGGGTTCCACACACAGATCGTGCATATAGGCTAATACTTATTAGCATGAGATGACCAAGTCTGTCTCACTTCAGTGTCTCCTCCTCCCCCCTCCCTCCTTCCCTTTCTCTGCTATTCCTTTTCCATCTCCACTGTCACCTGCCTCAGTGCTATGAGCTTCTGCCATTCACATTCTCAATTCTCTAAATCACACACACCCCTCATCTCACAGTTTCCAACTTCATATCATATTACTCCAGTTCTAGATTCCTGAACATAATCTTAAGGAGCCACTCAGAAAAGTTGACTCCTAACTCTGGGCCCTGAGGTACTCGTTCCCTTTCAGTTCTATTTGTCGTTATTCTCTTTCCTCTAGTGTACCACTCAGACTCTCCCAGGCTCTTCCCTAAGTATTCTCCTATGTTTGTGTATTTGCTAACTTCTCTCCCTCTCTTGGAAATGCTTTTTGAACATTAACAACCTTCACCATTCCCATTCTTCCCCGTCGCTTTCCTATTTACTTGTAGAGTTCTTGGCTCCACCTCCTTTTGGCAGGAATCACTCAATTCCTCAGCTGGAAGACCTAATGCTTCCATGGAAAGCACACTGTCCATCCCACAAGTACAATACAAAACCGTTTTAAGTTAAAACACCAAATTTATTGGATAATAGTGAACTATATGCACACACATAGAAAATAAACATTTCATATAATTGTGTATCTTTTTTAAATGTTGTATTTATAAGGACTGAAAAACTACCAATTTAGCAATTGGAGTAACTTTTAAAAAGAAAAAGAAAAAGCAAAAATCTACATTCCTTCCATCAAGACTCAAGGCTGCATCACAATCTATATGTACTTCATTTTATATAAATAAAATCTTTTCTCTAGCTACTACATATTTAAAATCAGCATTACATGAGTTCTTTGATCATGTAGGATTTTCTTATCGAATGCTAAGCAGTTAGACACGTCATTTTTGAGACACATGTATTTATTTGACTTAAACATAATTCCCCTGCTGAAATCCCACTGTAAATGAACATTTCAAATGTGATAAACAAAAACTCTATCATAAAGAGTATCTTCATACTTTAACAGTTAGAGACAGAAGTTAAAAAAAATCTTACAAAATTTAAAATAAAAAAAGACAGCATGCATCCACTAGCAGAAGGAAGTGGAGAATTAATTCAAGTAGCAAAGACAAGGAAGAATAAGAGAGCAGAGGAAAGGAAGGGTTGGGGAACATAGGAAAGAAAAGGTAAGAAAGAAAGAGCAGTAGACATAAAGTAATAACGGGACCGAAGTTTATTAATTATACCATTCTTGGGCAATATGTAGACAAGAAAATGCAACTTGCTTCAAAAGCAAGGTAAATGGGTCTACTAATTCATTGTCTATCCAGGTATCATGGCTAACAACACACATGCAGCCCACCTGCCATCTGAGGCTGTTGTATGTGTCTTTCGGGAGGCCTAGGCAGTGGGCAGTCACAGAAGGCTGCAGTTCCTTCGTGACCTATTTTCTTTAAGCAGGGTGTGTTCGTAAAGACTCCCATAATGTCTCAAGAGTTATGTCATGGACCCAGACTCAGCCTTTTGGGATTAGGAGTTCTGAAGAAGCCTATTCCACTGTGGGCTGGACTGGGCTACAACAAGCCATGCATTTCCAAAGCTGCAGAGAAAGGGACACTCTGCATGGCAGGCAAGAAGGGATATGTCAATCAGTCATCTCGGCAGCAGAGACAGAAGCTAGGAAAAGAGCAGGGAAGCATGGAGAAGAAACACCGGGGCTCAGATGCATTTTGGAAACAAAAGCTTACAATCTACTGCAGTTTAATCCAGCAGATCCCAACACATTCACAGACGAAGGGACAACAGGTACCTTGGTGTAAAACAAAACAAAGCAAAATCCAATCCACCTCCCATACTAAAGCCAGTTTTGGGGGCCAGTTCCCAACCATTGATTTTTCAAAAAGACTACTTACTACTGAACTACAGAAACACACTGACTGGGATTTAGGATTCAAAAGTCTCCATCTACTTAGAAAATAAAAAAATAGAAATCACTCCCCATGATATTTTGTATCCGCTGCAATGTGGTCACTGAGGAAGGGAAGGACATCCTGGGTGAGCTGGGGAGCCTCAGGCCAAACTAAAACCTTCATAATTGTCGAGGGCCTGGGTCAGCCTAGCCTTCATAATCTCTTTGCTGCTATATTTAGGGAGGTCAAGCAGGTTGTAGCAGGTGTGGGCCACAGGTAAGTACTCCTCCCCATGGATTGTGGACTGGATGACAATCTGCAGACTGGCCATTCCATAGATGGGAATCCGGTCACTGCCTGTCAGGAACACTGAAGAGAAGAAAATGGCATCAAAGGCTATGCAAAGTCTTTCAGGCAACAGAGGAAGGCATGACACCCTGTGGCTTCCATGAGAACTACAACATTATTTATGTACCAACAAGTCTGCACCAGAATACTGGATGCTCAGACATGGCTCTAGGGCCTTCTATACGACACATGTCCTCATAGATGAACCTTCACAAAAGCAAATCAGAAAGGAATTGTCATAGGAAAAGGGGGCCTTCCTGTACAGGAAACCAGCAAAGAACTCGAGTCTCTGTGACCTTAAGATTTCCTCTTATTTCAGACGTCTGAGAACAGAGCCACCTGGCTGCTGTTTCCCTTCTTCATTTCCCTCCCTTTCATTAACTGGAAGACCTGATCCACACACTCTTTAGGCAGTTCACTCTTGTGATACATTGTTACTTGCAGAGATAACTGAATTCTCAGCACAAAGTAGACACACACTGTTGTCTTCTCCTGTGTACTAGTATTGCAGAATGTTTTTTGTGGTTGTTCCTGTTTTGTTTTGTTTTGTTTCACTTTGGATGTGCCAAAAATGACCACAATGAAATCATTAACCATTTATTTCCTTTCCCTTTTTCTTTTTCTTTTTGTGGTGGTTTTGGGTTTGAACCCAGGGCCTTTTAGATGCTAGACAAAGACTCTGCAACTCTCTGGAAGTCCTCATCAGCCACTGCAAATAACCTGCCTAAGGCATATAAACATATAACCAATCTTGCCAAACTTTCAGAATTAATAATACAACAGCAATGAACACACAACAAATGCCTTATATGGAATGCTCCCTAACTAGAAATGTCTTTTTGTAAGGAAACACCCAGGGCCAGAAGGGAGGCTTCACCTGAAAGCAACAACAGGTTTCCACATTGACTTGGCAGCCCAACCCTTCCTTTATCAACTTGCATGACACTGCTTCTCAACAGCTCATGGACACAAGCAGGACTTCCATTGTGAGATACTGGTTTTTTGTTTTTGTTTTCTTGCAGACTATTTTTTTATTTGAATTAGTAACAAGATTGTTTTACATGACAATCCTGGTTCCCTTCTCCCTCACGTCCTCCCCTACCATGCCCCCCCCCAACTAAAACCCTACCTATCACATATCCTTTCTGCTCCCCCTGGATGGTGAGGCCTTCCATAGGGTGTCATCAGAGTCTATCGTACTCCCCCCGACCCCCGTGTGTCTTGGCTCAGGGAGTATCCCTCTATGTGGATTGGGCTCCCAAAGTCCTATGCTAGGGATAAGTACTGAAGTACTACAGGAGGTCCCGTAGATTTCTGAAGGAGATACCGTTTTTTTGTTGTTGTTGTTTTGTTTTTCCCCTCATTTTTGCTCCATGTGAGCAGCAGAACCTAGAGATAAGTCTTGCATTAATATTAATATCCTCTCATTTTTAGAAAGTAAAGAAGAAAACCCCTTTTTTCCGGGGGGGGGGGGTGTTTCTCTGTGGCTTTGGAGGCTGTCCTGGAACTGGAAAAAAAAATTGTATTCTATTCACTGGCTGATTTAAGGGCCTGATTACACAGATGTAGGTGGGAAAATCCAACCTTTTCTTTTCTTTTCTTTTCTTTTCCTTTCTTTCTTTCTTTCTTTCTTTCTTTCTTCCTTTCTTTCTTTTTTTTTTGGGGGGGGGATAAGGTTTCTCTGTGAAACAGTCCTTGCTATCCTGGAACTCACTCTATAGACCAGACTGGCCTGGAACTCACAGAGATTCGCCTGCCTCTGCCTCCTGAGTGCTGGATTAAAGGCGTGGGCTACCACCATCTGGTGATCCAACGATATCTAAAAGGCTGGATTTGATCATGGAAAATAAGTCCACTTTACTCTCTAAAGCTACTATCCTACTCAAATGTCTTGCAGCCATTTACAAAGGACTACATATGGTATGATTCTATTTCCAAGAAATGTCTGTAACAGATAAACTCAAGATGAGGAATGATGCTGACAGTATGGAGTTTCTTTCTGAGGTGTTCTGTGACAGGCTTACTGCCCTGTATACACTAAAACCCCCTAGCTTGGACACTGTAAACAGGGAAAGCGCATGTTAAATCATTCATATCACAACAAAGCTTTAATAAATCAGATCTGCTCAGTTTCATCTAGAAACTTTCCAGACAAATCATTTTAGACTTCGGAGTGGGCAGGCTATCACTATGTTGCTCACACTGACCTTAAACTCTTGGGCCCAAGGGATCCTCCTGTCTCAACCTGCAATAGCTGGGGCTAGAAGCATGAATCAATGCTTTCACCTAAAGTAACTACTATTTTTTAGAGACAGTGAAGATCAGTGAAATGACTCTTTAGTTATTTTTATCATCTTGTTTCACACATGTGTACTAAGAGCCTACAATACATCTTATTAATATACCGCAGATGCATTGAAGCTTAGTTTTCTTTACTATCTAGCCATTTAGAAGTTAATCTTTACCTGTGAAATATACCGTCCTACATGATGTCACACTAAAATATGGACAACCCACTGAGGTGATAAATACTTACAGAGAAACTTCTTCTTCTTCTCTAGAGGGAACTCATGGAATGTCTCCCAAAATAGTTTCACAGTGGGATGTGTGCCTGAATAATCGCCCCTGTAGACGGCAGTCTGTTCAAAAGAGAAAAGAAAACAAAACAAAAACATGTATCTTAGAGAATGAAGACAACATTACAATGCACACTGGGTACCACTTGCATCTGAGCTGGAAATCCCTGGGAGGCAGGAGACCTCAGCGCACCTGCCAGGATGCTGCTGCGCTCTAGAGCTTACCTCTTCCAGTTCTTCCCAGTTGTAGTTGCTACTCCCCACCATCATGGCCCGTAGTTCTGCAGGCTGGAAGAGCTCCAGGACTTTGCCCCCACAGACCTTCAGGAAGCCACTGGAGAAGGCTGTATACCACTCATGAACGGAGACTTGGAAAACATAATTAACATAAGCATCCACAAATTCTTGCCTGCGGGAAGACCAGAGAGATAGGATGCACTGTAGATGTGGTAGAGAGTCTCACAGGCTCTATGGAGCTGCCTTTCCATCTGAGGTTTAAAGTGATAGAAATAGCCTTCCATCAGGCCAGTGCCTGACGTGGTGGTCTGGAACTAAAGCCGCTTGATAGTTATATCCTTGTGTTTTGGTTTTCAGTGCATGCATGTGTATATGTATGAGCATGTAGAAGTCAGAGGACAACCTGTGGTTATCATTCTTTAGACGTCACAGAGTTTATTGCTGCCTGGGACTCTAGCCCAGGGACTGACCAGCAAGCCCTATGGATCCATCTGCTTCCATCTCCCTAGCACTTGGATACCGGAGTACTATCATGCCTATATTTTTATGTGGGTCCTGGGTATTAGACTCAGGATGCCACGTTTCGAGGCAAGCACTTTGCTGACTGAGCCGTCCTCCCAGCCCTATCTCCTCATGTATTTTAAAATATAATATCCCTTATAAATAGCAGTTTGTTCAACATTTGAAAGACTATTAGAAAAAAGATTATATTTGCATTTGAGAGTAAAAAAATAACTAGTAGAGGGCTAGAGGTCTAGTTCAGTTAGCAAAGTATTTGTTGTCTAAGCAAGAAGACCCAATTCAGTTGGAGGAATAAATAGAAAGTGAAGACTATATTCCAGAGGAAGGGCACTGGAAATTCAAAACATTGTGACAGGACAGAGCAAAGGCGGAGAGAAACAGAAAGGGGATGCAGAAAAAAGTTGAGAAGCAGCAGTCCTGCTCTGAAGAGTGAAAGGCCCTGCTGAAGCTGCATTTGGGGGTAAGTCAGAGGACCCTGGCGGTAAGAAACCATCAGGAGGAACACCCACTTCTCACAAAAGTCCAGTGCTGGGGTTAGGTTAACAGTGACTTCCCTTACAAGGCAGGAGGGGAAACTCACTGCATCTCTCTCAGTACCTCAGTGCTACATCTGGTCTCCATCTTGACAGGGAGGGCAATAGAAGACCTGTTAACATGGAACAATTCCAATGGGAGCTAACGCTGTGGAGGAACAGTGGCCCATTGCCCTTGCTTCCATGGAGAAAAGACTGAGGCAAAGACAGAAGGGATAACTTGCCCTGGGTCTGAGGGCTGTAAGTGCCAGAACTCTTGCTTTTCATTCATTACATTGTTTTAGGGACAAAGAAGCAATTTACATGAATGCTGGCTTCATTTACATCACACTAAGAAGCTTGGGATCCTGTTTACATCCAGAATTTTGGATGTAGTCAATTCTGTGATGAAGTTCCTTTTGCCTGAGGATTACTGTGGAAACAGGGCTTGGTGGCCACTACCTGTTTGAGTCAGAAGCCTAGCTTAGCAGAGCATTCAGCCCCCTCCCCCAACCCCCCCATCACTCCAGGGCTGTGTACTGCTAGACAGAGGCTAAATAAAGCTAAGGTGTATAGGTTCTCCTAGTGCAGAACTCAGCACTCTGTTTCCACCATTCCCACATACCTGAGGGTCACTCATTGGCTTGGATGTCTTTCATTCCTGGGGGCCCAAAGTTGAAGGCCTCTGAGTTAAGTGGGAACCTGCCTGGACGACAGGTGGCAAAGCCCGTGGGGTCTGGCAGAGCTCTCTAAGGTGACTGACTCTTGGCTAGCTTGGCCCTCAGGGGCATACAACATTCAACTGCATAGGTGGAATTGCCAAGAAGCATCACTATTTGTTTTTTTTTAAACTACATTTTTTGTATTGTGTTAAACTGTATTCTTTACATGCTCTTGTTTTTCATTTGTTTCTTTTCTTTAGCTAGTCATTTATACTTTCTCCCAATTGTAATCAGATTTTATCTTTTGCTATTTCTCCTTTCTTGGTTTTTATTTTCTTTCCTTCTCTATTACTTAACCTTGCTTCTTCCTTTTCTCCCTCCCTACCCCCTTCTTTATTTTATTCTTCACTGTTATTACTTTAACCATCACGTATCTGTATAACTTCATAGTTTCCTTGACATTATTTTTCCTAAGGTTCCTGTTAGTATAGTTGTTGACTTTAGTTGGTTTGGTTGCATTTGTCTTTCTAATTTACTCTGCTAATATTCTTACAGCAGTTTGTTTTACTTTCTCTGTCTGGTACAGAGCCCTCAAAAGAAAGCTGGCCCCACCCAGAAGACCCTATCATAAAACCAGAAAAGATACACTGTCCCAGCACACACATAAGCTATACCCAGAAACATGCAGAGGCCAAAGAGGCAAAGCAGCAAAATCTGTCCAAAGGTTAGCAATTCTCAGCAAATCTGAAGATCCTGAAATGGTCAAAATGTCAAATAATTCAAAAGTCTAGGGTTTTCTTTTGTTTGTTTTTAAAAATGATCAATGCCTTCAAAGATCACTCAAAGAAACAGATGAATGAAGAAAAGAAGTCAATTCAAGACCTAGATTAGAAACTCAACAACTTGAGTGGGGATATTAAGCATAAAAGTACAGATTCCAGTGAAGAGAACAAAGGAAAGGAGAAGAAAGAGGAAAGGAAGGGGGGCGGGGGAACATGGAGAATATAAGAATGAGAAAGAATATGAAAATCAACTTGGGAATAAAAAGATAGAAAGCTCACTAAATTAACTAAAACCTCAATGGTTACCATTATCAATATACTACACCAGGCAGAACAAAGAAATCAGGATGGACAACAAGCTTGAGGAATTACTAATGAACAGGGCCATCATGGCTACACTATGTAAAGACCTCTGGACCATAACTAAGAGATAAAACCCACAAATTCATGGTGCAGAAGAAGGGGCTGAGATAGAGAATGAATTATTGAATCATTTTTTCCCCATACAATTATCCAAATCTAGGGAAAGAAATAGACATCCAACTACCAGAAATACTTATAAACTACAGACAAGAAGTTCTTTATGTTATATTATGGCTTAACTGCCATAGCACAGGACAGAAAAAGAATACTAAAAGCTGAAGGGGAAAATCCCAATAACTTATGAAAACAAACCTATCAAAACAACACCCTCTGAATAAGACCTTTTAGAAGAAACTCTAAGACCAGGGGGAAATGAACCAACTATTCATCCCTGAAACAAAGTAAGTGGCTACCATTACTGTATCAAGCAAGGGGAATCCTTTGTACTAGAAGGATGAATAAAGACTTTTCTGGACAACCACTAAAGGTAGCATTGCAAAAGACACTCAAAAGACAACTTTACACAACCCAGAGGAATGATATTCACAGGCTTAAGAGCTCAGGGAAGAATCAAACATTATTGAGTCAGTAAACAGCAAAGATGAAGGAGGGAGATGTTACTACATACTTTACAACATTAATCAAAAGTGTAAATGGTCATAACTTGTCAATTAAAAGACAAGATAGATTAAAAAAAAATTCACCTATTTTCTCATTGGCATAAACAGATTGGATGTGAAAGGATGGAAAATAATACCCCAGGCAAAAATATCTGAAAGCAAGTAGAAGCAGATATACTTACATCTAGCATGTCGGACCTCAAATGAAAATTAGTCAGAAGTAATAACTAAGTTAACTCTATATCAATAAGAGAACACTCCTACAAGAGGAGGTAACAATTAAAAGTGTATATGTACTGAACAAAAAACAAACACTACTGAATACAAAGGGACCCAGAGGTCCAGATAAAATGAAAGTGGATGAATGTAGTAACAGATAGGTCATCTAGACCAAACACATGAGGAAAGAAACACCTAGATTTCTTAATAAGTCCATTGTACTTATGGACTTATTAACAAATGGACTTAACATGGGCACCTAGAGAACATTCCACCCAACATTTATGGAATATACATTCTTCTTAGCAGTACGGAACTTTTTCTAAAATAGAATAATTTTAGGCCATAAAGCAAGCCAATACATACAGAAGAAATGGGAAATTTTCCTTGTATCTCATCAGATAATAGAGAAAAAAACCCCTCAGATATCAACAGTAAGAGAAACAACAGAAATTAAGCCAGTACATGGAGGCTGAAAATACACTTTGAATGACCAGTGGGTTATAGAAATCAGAGAGAAAATGAGTAAATTAATAAATTCAAGGGAAAACCAAAATGCAACTTACCACAACATTAGGGACACAGCAAACTCGTTCTACTAAGGAACTTTAGAGTCAAGAGATCCTACATTAAACTTCGGAGATCTCACCTGGCAGTGGTGATACATGCCTCTAATCCCCAGCATTCGGGGAGGCAGAGGCAGGTGGATCTCTTAGTTTGAGGTCAGCCTGGACTACATAGTAAGGTCCAGGATAGTGAGAATTATTATGCAGAGAAATCCTGTCTTCAAAAACCAAAACAAACCAAAACAAACCAAGCAAACAAGCAAAAAGAAAACAAAGCAAAAAACTTCAGAGATCTGAAATAAATAACCCAACATTGTAGCAAAATAAGAAGACAAATCTAAACCTAGCAGATGGAAAGAAAACAGTAAAAATTAAAACAAAAGTCAATGAAGTGAAGACTAAAAACAACAGAAAAGATCCTGTTGTGTGTGTGTAACAGAACTATAACCAAATTTATGTGGAATGGGGAAAAAGTGAAAGCATTTACTCTATATAATCAGGCATGAAACAAAGAACGCCCACACCCCCCACTTTTATTTAGTTTGAAATCATAGCCAGAGCAAAAGGCAAGAAGAGAAATAAAAGGACTATAAATAGGAAAGGACAAAGTAGCCTTACTTTCATACAATATGATCCTATCCTTAAAATGTCATAAAGTCCACTACAAAGCTCAGATCTGATAAATACTTTCATCAAAGCAGCAATATACAAAATCAATGTACAAAAGACAGGCTTTTCTATATACCAATAACAGACATATTAAAAAATAAATCCAACGGAAATGAAATTGTCAAAGCAATGCTTACATTGCGGTATTGACTATGGTACTATCCAAAAAAGTCTGGTTATAGACTCAACCTTTGCCTGTAATTACTTTCCTTTCTTATCGCTGTGACAAAATTTCCTGACAAAAGCAACTTAAGGGTGAAAGGGCTTATTTGGTTCACAATTCCACGTGCATTATGGCATGGAAGCCACAGCAGCCGGCATGTGAGAGAACTGGGCACATTACATCAGCAGTCAAGAGCAGAAAGCAATGAACTAATGTGTGCTAGAGATCAGTTTGCCCTCTCCATTTTATACAGCTCAGGATCCAATACCCAAGGATTGATCCTGCCCACAATTACGGTGGGTCTTCCCACACCAATTAGGGTAATCAAGAGACAATCCCACAGAGCATTATCAGAGACTAACCTTCGTCTAGAGAGTCAACCACAGGTGGCCTGGAGGCATGGCCCACCCTCCACCTAGGTACCCAGTTGACAATTAACACTAAGCAGCACAATGTTCACCAGCAGATATGTCATTTTATTATTTCTATCTACAACATATGGAACAGATGCCAGGAATCGCTAAAAAGGCATCTAGCACAAGCCCAAAGAGAGGCCTACCGCTGCTCTTTCCCTCACAGATCTCAAAAGGAACAAACCCTGCCAAGACCTGTGAGGACTTTGCCTCCTTAACTTGTAAGCAATGGATTGCTATTGTTTAAATGCCTGGCCTGTTAGACTTCACTACAGCATCCTAGCAAACTAACATATATATTCAAACTGATACATGCCAATTCTAATAGCATTATTATTGAATTTTGTTTAAAATGATGACCCTTAAATTGTTTCTAGGTACTCACTAAAGATCAAACCCTGAATGAAGTTCTGGGATGTACACTAATTCAATGAAAAGTAAATTGTGTAATACAGAATTACACGTCAATAAAAAATTCAAAAAGCCTTTGAAGTTGACATAATTATTTTGAATTAAAAGCTGAGACTAAGAGGAACAATTAACACATGGGTAAGGCAGGAATTGAAACCAGGCTCTAGCATGGACACAACCATTTCAGGTAGTTCCTGCCCCCTAACCGCCCCCCCCACTACCTTTTTTTCATTTCCTGTATGAAGCTGCATGACAGGTTAGACAAGAGTTCATCACACATCACCTCATCAATTCTATTACTCACTATGTGTTTCTGTAGCCCTTATCATGTACCAGAGAGGATAAAGCCCACTAAATGAGACATGTTTAGACAAGTATGGTATGTATTGCCCACACTTTTTAGAAGTCCTGATCTAAATCGTATTAAGGGTCATTTTTAAAAGCATGTCAACCTGAAGTTTATATAAAAGGCTCAGGAACTAAAAACAGCCAAAATAATTTTGTAAAAGAACAAAGTCAAAGGGCTCATTATCTAAATTCAGGAATAAAGCCATGGTTCTGAAGTCTAGTGTTGATGAAAGATCAGGTAAATGAACAGAAGGAAAAATCAGAAACAGAGCCACACCTATAAATGCAACGGATTTTCAACCAATCTACAAAGGCAGTGTGGCAGACTTAAGTAGTATTGTCCATAAAAATCAATAAATATTACATGCACAACAAATATATAGTCTATAACCACATAAATGTTAATTCAATATGTGCCACAGCCTAAAATTGAAGCTTAATGTATCAAATTCATAGCGGAGAGTTCAGGGAGAAAGGCTTTATGGCCTTGGAATTAGAAAAGACTTCTTGGGCATTATGCCAAAATCTCATTCCATAAAAGAAAATTTAGCCACCCCAAATTTAAAAGTCTATTTCTACTTATTTAAAGTCTACTTCTGATTTCTATTATAAAACTAAAATGTTACCTGGGTGGTGGTGGTGCCACAAGCTAATCTCAGCACTGGAGAGGCAAAGGCAGGAGGATATCAGTGAGTCCAAGGCCGGTCTGGTCTACAAAGTTCCAGGATAGCCAGGACCGTTGCTCAGAGAAACCCTGTCTCCAAAACCCAAAACTAAAAAGTCAGTCTAGAAAATGTTTATAAAATACATATTTCACAAAGAACCTGCATCCAGAATACATAAAAAAGAGAAAACTCATTAAGAAAAAATAAGAAAATAAGCAACAGAAAGAAGATGTAAGAATAGTAAACATGAACATCAGTGAATAATCAGAATCACTTATCACTAAGGGTACCACGGCACTCTCGAGGCTGAAGCCACCGAGTTCCAGGTCTGGCCTGCATATTTAAGACTCGTTATCTCAAAGCAGAGCATATAGAACAACTATAACTTTCATACATTTCTTGTATGAAAGCAAACAAGCACAGCCATGTGGAAAGAGTGTGATAGCTATTTATGAAGTTAAATATACCAAATAATCCAGCAACTCTACTAGTAGGTATTTATAGAAAATAAGGATGTGTTCATATAGAAATCTACAGACATGTATATGCTCACAGTGGTATTACTATTATTATTGGGTTTTTTTTTGTTGTTGTTGTTTCTTTAAGACAGGGTTTCTCTATATAGCTTTGGAGCCTGTCCTGGAACTCATTTTGTAGACCAGACTACTCTCAACGTCACAGAGATCCACCTGCCTCTGCTTCCTGAGTGCTGGGATTTAAGGCATGCACAACCACCGCCCTGCTTATTCTAGATTTTTAGAAGTGGAAATAGCACGTTGGAAATATTTCCCAACAATACAGGGGAACAAATTAGTAATATGCATGACAGTACAGATGAGTATCAAATACATTTGCTTGTGAAAATCACAGACTCCAAAAGGCTACATGTGACTTCATTCGGGACAACTTAAGAAAAACAGGATTATTAAGACAGTAAACAGATCGATGTGTCATGTGCACAAAATGTAGAAGGGCCCCCAGGGTCCTTTTAGGGTACTCAAGTTACCACGTCTTGATTACCACGGTGCTTATGTGACTGCATTTGTTTGTGGAAGTGCTCCCCAAATGCTGGATTTTACTAAGTTGTAGGCTCTTTAGAGTGAAAAAGAAAAAAATTTTAAAAGGGACAGCAAAATGACTCAGCAAATAAATCATTTGCTCCTAAGCCTGAAGGCCTCGGTTAGATTCCCCAGAAAACACACGGTACACACCATAGAAAATGTTAACTACTCCATCAACACAAAACACATAAATGTAATTTAAAAAAAGAAAAAGGGAGAGGGAAGGAAAACAAGCTAAAGGACTCCCGAGTACATTAAAATGCATTTTGTAAATATTTACTTTCTTTGATCAGAGGCATGAGGATGTTTGCTCTAAAGACATTATGCATAATTATCACTTGCATATTAATGCAATGATTTTATAAAAATTATTCAGTGCTTACTATGTACCAGCACTAAATGATTTACATATAATTAATTTAATATGCATAATAACCAAAAGACAGAAATTTCTTTCAGATTTCATAAGCATAAGACTCTGGCAAGAAAGAAAAACACTTAAATTGGTAACAAATGAATGCTCTAGAAACTACTTAAGAGTTGTGCCCTGCCCTGTATATAAACAAGAAGCCCTAAAGAGGCAGGCAGGAGGAACCCAGAATTTAAGGTCATCATGATCAGAGGTTAGAAGCTAGCCTGGGCTGGCGTAATATGGGTATTTGGGTAAGATATTAAAGTGTCCAATTACCAGAAAACGTCTTCATTATCAGAAAACAAGCATCTGATGTTGATGGTCTTTTCCAATGTTCTCACACGCAAATCACAAGCAGATCCTAAGAGCAGATGGTTAACTGTGAAGTGTTTGGTGACAAATGGTTGTACGTGCATCTGTAGGTGCGGTAGGGCGAGTAGGATCAAACACACGCTTTTCAAGATGTATTAAAAGAATCTCTTCTCCCTGGCTCTTATGGGGATGACTAACCTGCCACCCAGAGGCTGCATGCCTCCCAAGATAACGATGAATGGGCCCCACACATTGGGAGACGATGGCGTCTTTTCACAAAGTCACAAGGCTGGACACTCCGAAGGGTTTTTTTCCTTCGGTTCACCCTTGCTTTATTCCTTTTCATTGGCGCCTGGGTGGACCCTTCGGTAACTACCAGGAAGGTTACGGTGCTGAGATTTCCTACACAAGCACTTCTAGAAGTAATTCCAAAGTACCTCGGGTGATAATTTGCCACCAGAACGTATGTAACTAGGTTTAAGCGAGATGGCTGGCTGTGAGCTCAAGGCGCCCAAGATGGCTTGCGCAGATAATGCGCAGATATGCAGATCTGCAAAGGTGTGGGGGGAAAATGGTTCTCCCGCATTTCTTTTCTCTGGTAGTGAATTTAAGACGCAATCAAGATTCGGAAAGGAAGGTACCCATAGCTAAGACTGCCCAGCATCAGCTATGGCGCACTTCCGAAAAAACAGTTAACAGGTGCATTGCGGATTCAAAGGGCTGAGACGGAAGAGGGGGGCACAAAGCAAACAGCCTGGGGCTGCATAAACAGGTATGGAAAAATACAGGCTCAGCCTCGAGCTGGTTCCAGCCAGCTCTGCAGGGGAGGGGGCGGAAGCTGGGGGCTGGGAGTCTAAGTGGTTTTGAGGACCTCGGAGATAGCAGCATAGCAACAATCTGGTGCAGTATGTGCGCAAAACCATCAGCTGATAGCGGGCAGCCATTCATTTGCCGCGAGCCACGAAGCGGCAGCGCGGACGTCACCACAGCCGTCAGCATTTGCCGCATCTTTAGACTCACTCTGGACCAGCCGCAGTCACAGAAGGAGGACCTCTCTGGACCAGCACAGTCGCAGACTGCGCAATCACCAGACCACTGCGCCCCCCCAGCCGAGCCGAGCCGAACGCTAGCCATGGCCGACCCCGAGAAGCAGGGACCCGCTGAGAGCCGTGCCGAAGACGAGGTAATGGAGGGCGCCCAGGGTGGCGAGGATGTGGCAACCGGAGGCGAGGGTGCCGCTGCGCCCGCGGCCGAAGAGCCACAGGCTACCGGGGAGAACGCGCCCAAGCCCAAGAACGAGTTTATCGAGAGCCTGCCCAATTCCGTCAAGTGCCGAGTTCTGGCGCTCAAAAAGCTGCAGAAGCGCTGTGATAAGATCGAGGCCAAATTTGACAAGGAATTCCAGGCTCTGGAGAAGAAGTACAACGACATCTACAAGCCCCTTCTTGCCAAGATCCAGGAGCTCACCGGTGAGATGGAGGGCTGCGCCTGGACCCTGGAGGAAGATGATGATGACGACGAGGAAGAAGACGAGGAGGAGGAGGAGGAGGAAGAAGAGGCTGCGGCCGGCGCCACTGGGGGTCCCGACTCCGCCAAGAAGTGAACGCCAGCAGATGACAGGTGATAAACCCCCTACCCCTTTCATTTCCGATGTCGGCAGACTTTAAAAGGCTCAGGTTTTGCCCAAAATACAATGTGAATCTATTCTGACATTCCTAAATTTAAATTGAATCTAGATTTTGGCTAGCCCGTTTTTAATCTGACTCTTAATTGTGTAAAACAAATACCAAAAGACGTTTTTAAACAAAAAAAGCCTAATTAAGCTTAATTTTTTTTTCTCCCTGCAATTCTGAGAGAACTGGACTTGAGACTGATGTAAGATGGTCAGTTAAATGTGAAGTGCGTCACACGTTGAAATCCATTCATCTCACTACACCCGACCACCCAAGCTAAGACTGAACTTTTCTCAATGCTTAATTCTTCAGTTTCTTTACATTTTCCAGCGAAGAGGAGAAGGAATCCAAGAACGACGTCATCTTTAAGACTTTTGCTTTTGCAAACCCAGACATCAGCTTTACACTCTGGAGGAGACGTGGCATGGAGGAAGCCTGGACTGAGAGCATGACACTACTGTTTATGAGGCTAGGGAAATTGCCATTTAAAGTTATGGGAAATGTTTGGAATATTTGAATTGACAGAAAGAACATGGTTATAAGACAGAGGGTGTATTAACATGTACAATATTGTCAACACGTGTTCATTTGTAATGGTCTCATGTTTCCTGTTTTCTTGGTAGTGTGTTTACAAAATCGTAAAAATTACCCCAAATGTTTTAAGTATTGAATCACCTTAGAGCATTTTAGAAATATAATTTACTTGAAGAAATGTAGAATGTAGCAATCCTGTAAAGCATGTGTATCTAGTGTTGCTGTAGTTTGACCCTTGTGAAGTCTTTTTGTCTTGTAGCTTTTAGCAAGTAGCTGTGAAAACCACCAGAACTCCTCAATGAAGCTAATGTTTGGAGAAGGTATATACTTGAAGAGTCAATCCAAGTGTGTATCCCCACCCCCAGCTCAGAAATAGAAAGGATTTAAGTTTGCTTGTATTAGCTGTGCCTTCATTATTTTGCTCTGTAAATGTGACACATTAAATGGTGCAAAATCAAATTTTATTGCTTAAGGAAGAATGGCATATAGGAAGGACTTTTGGGAAAAGACATTTAATGTAAAGGCCTTTAGCTTCTTTGTGGGTTTTCTGTGAGCCAATGTTCTGTAAAGAGTACAAACATACATCTGTTTACCACTGTGGTGTTAACAAACCAGTATTTTCAAAAAATAAAAAACTTGCTATTCAGACTGCCTGTTTTCTCATCTATAAAAGTGGGTATAACAGTCCCTTCCTCACATTAAAAAAGCTATCTTTTTTGGTTTCCTTCATATAAAATCTGGTTTTAATTTCCTTTCATAAAAGGGAAGACTTTAATAATACATTATGAATGCACACACACACTTCCATTTGCTGCAAGGGTTAATCACACTGCGGCAAAATCTGATGACGTCGTTGGAAATGGAGGGCGATGGTAACCTGTTGCTAATGACAACAGCTGACTACGAACAACTCTGAGGTGGTGGTAATCTTCCTGATGGTGTGACCAACCCAACTGATGGATATCACATTTATTATAATAATCATAATCATATGATTATTTCAATAAGAAAAAAGGTAATGAAAGTTAACATTCACTTATCTTCAGAAATGGAGGGACTGCCATTTAATATTTCTCTAGGTCTAATATAAATTAAAAAGTAACTAATGAAGGATCTAGTCATCAGGAAATTTATTTTTTAGGTTTATGTTGATATACAGAAAACCCAAGAGGATAAACTGAGAAACCATCAGATACAAGTTTGATGAATTGGTTGTCATATAAATATACTAAAACAATAATTAATTTAATGTATTAAAATATAGCAAATATTTTATACTAGAAATATACAAATAGATAAACATAAGCTAGCCCATGAAAAAAAATGAGTATAATGTATGTGAAAAATAGGGGATTTCACAAAAAATAAGCCCCTGACTTAGATTACCACAAAAACATTAATTCTTCTAAAACTAACTTATAATTTATCAAAATTCAATTAAATTCCAAGTGGGATTTGGAACTTCTGTGTTGTTCACCTATAAGAATAGCTGAGATTGCTTTCAATAATTTAGAAACAAATTAGACTCAAACATTTTTAATGAAGAAAATACACAAAATATTTACAAATTACTAGGTACACAAAGTCTAAGATTAGGACACATACAGCCAAAGAAAAGAAACAAACATGACAAGACAAAAATTAGAAAACAATCAAGTTTTGAATATATAACTCATTTCAAATGCAAACAAGGACTGTGAATGATATCTACGATAGATATAGACAACAAAAGGTTAATGGTCTTAATAGCTTGACAAATCATATGGAAATTGGTACTTTTAGAGATATACATAAAGAACCCGAGCTGATTATTTTAATAAGAAGAAATACTGGGGAGGAAGACGTGTTCCTATGCCCAACACTAGATGAAGCAGGGCTCTGGCAAGGTGGCAGACATGCACAGCTGCGTGCCCTGGACAGCAGTCATTATTTTATATTATATATATGATTAGCATAGGTTTCTCTCTCACTCTGTCTCCCTCTCTCTCTCTCTTTTTTCTTTTGGCCAGCAGTAATACCAATATACCACTGCTGGCTACTTTTTTTTTTTTTTTTTTTAAGAATTCAGGGATGTTTAGGATAGATGTCAATTTCATTTCCTTGCTGAGCTGATCCTAAATGTGTGTCTCCTGAACTGTTTATTTCAAAGTGCGTCACAGCTGCAGTGTAATGTCGGCAGGACACCATCTTCTCCAGGCAAGTAAAACACTGCTTTGCGGTAAACCATTTTAACCCCTGAAAGGCCAAACTCAGCAGAGCACAAAGTAACCAGCAGCACACATTATACATTCAGTGCATGCTCTCAGACTGTGACGCAGAAATCTGCAGCACTTCAAGGCTCACAGTGTAAGCTCTGTGCTGCATTTCTGCTTGTGTGAAGGTTATGCACATATAGCACTTCTTCACGTTACATACAAGTAAACAAATGCTGGCTTTATTGAGCTGAAGCTTACATAACATAAAGCATTTTAAAAGAAGCAATTTCAGATATTCACAATATTATGCAAATATGGTCTTGAAGTCATATTTTGAAAAGTATTTTATAAATTCTCACAGCATTAAAATGGATCAGTGCCGTGCAGAATCTTTAAAGTACCCTATGTCTGAAAGAAATGCAAGTATCTTTAATGATACTGTGAGGCCTGAGTGACATGGGTATTCTTATACACAAACAAAGATGAATAACCTGGTACAATTCATTATGAAAAATTACTTGTTAAGAGATTCAAAATGCCATACTTTACAATTTTATCCTTGGAATTTTATCATTAAAAAAAAAACAGCAATTTTAAAGGTAAAACAGTAATTCCTTTTCATACAAAAGATATTTGAGACACTTTTAATAAAACTGGAGGAGGGCTGAAAGAATACAGAAAGGGTGATAAAAAGAACACACAAACAAACCAAATACCCAAAGAAAACACACATTGACAGAAAAGACTACACAATTACAGGCATGCAAGAGTGGTTTTTGTTCTTATATACATATTTTTGTTTGTTTGTTTGTTTGTTTTTATCAGACAGAGCCTCACTATATAGCTCTGGCCTATCTTGGAACTCACTATGTAGACTGGCCTCAAACTCATAGAGTTCTGCCTGTCTCTATTTCCCAAGTCCTGGGATCACAGGCATGAGCCACTATGCCCGACTCAGGAGGGGTTTATCACATCTTAAATACTGCATATGCACTGTATTCTGAGGTTAACATTCAATTTTACACATTTATAGTATGCTTTTCACTATGCCAGTTTTCTTTTTCAGAAAATTATTCAGTCTGTCTGAAAGGAGAAACAGTAAACTCTGCAGTCACTTTTTCCTCCTGGGGGACAACACGGTAACCCTCAAGCTCTTGGTGGCTCTCTCGGTGGCACGGTGCATTCGTGGAGCACAGACCCTGAATCAAGTCCTTCACTTCTAGCCGTAGAGTTGCACCAAATGATATAAATCTTTGGGTTTCAAATTCATCATCTTCGAAGTGGTAAGGTTTGCAATGTTAAGTCCTTAGGAGAGGGCCAGACACATGGTAAGTGCTCTGGAAATGTGGCTAAGTGTTTTCTTTATCTTTTTGTCCCTGAAACAATCCAGTGCAAATATAATGTGGACCTCAAAGACCACACCCCTGACCAATGTTCATGAGGGATCAGCAGAAGGCATTTAGCGCCACAGCTGCATTCTTGAGTTCTCTCTATGGATTTAGATGCCCTTTTGAACAGAACTGGAATTTAACTGCATCAATTTAAGATCGTTTTTCCATTAGTGGTAATAATATACTATGGAGTATAAAAAGCACTTAATTACAAGGCATGAAGCAGTACAGTGCAATCCTGATGTGAATACCACTATGGAGAGACTTGGCTGTCAGCGGTTCTTATCCTTAGATGCATGTAAGTCATCTGAATGGGATTTGTAGTCCTCTGCTTCTTTCATCCAAAGCAGTCATGACAGTAGGTATCTTATTATTGACACCACCCCAAGTTCCAACCCCAACACTAAAAACCCAACAGCAGCCCATAATCCTTTAACCAACCTTGTCCCATAAGAGATCACAAGAACTCCATTTCAAAGGGGTTCTGCCTTATACTCTACAGCAGTGGTTCTCAAGCTGTGTGTGGGTCACAATCCCTTTGGGGGTCCAATGACCCTATCACAGGGGTCTCCTAAGACCATCAGAAAACACAAATATTTACATCACAATTCATAACAGTAGCAAAATTACAGTTATGAAGTGTCAATGGAAATAATTTATGGTTGAGGGTCACCACACACTTCAAAGATGATGAATTTAACTGTATTAAAGGGTTTTGCATTAGGGAAGCTGAGTATCATTGCTTGCAAGGAAGAAATTCTATATAGACCAGGAAAACCCTGCACAAGCCTCAATTAGGTTTCCCCACTC